AAAAAAAAAAATCAACGTTGAATTTACGTTGTTTCAACGATGTTCTAACGTCTTATTAACTACGTATCAATCGAATATATCACCTATTCAAAGTTGAAATATGGTTGATATATAGTCGATAAGACGTTAGATCAACGTTGAAAAGACGTAATCATCGACGTTGTTTCAACGTCGTAGTTTTCGACGTCAGATTTTATTTCCCATTCAACAAAATTTCAACGTTGTTTCAACGTGGTATATGGTCGGTTTGCAACGTTGTTTCAACGTTATTTCAACGTCATTGTGCCAGCTGGGTAATGACAACTGAGTATTTTCAAAATATAATTTTTTTTGTTTGCAAAAATCATATTTTGAGCTTTAGTTACCATATTATCAATGTTACAAGTCATTTAACTATTAAAAGATTTTTATAAAATACACTCAATCCTGTAAAAATCCGGTCTTCCTCCCACTCCCTAAAAAAATAGGGAGGCAGAGGGGAGCATTTTTTTTTGGACTAACTCAAAAAATTTCCTGTTAACGCCCCTGATTATAATTTTTCTTCTTTTAATCTCATTTTAAGCTTTAAAGGGTTTTGCAACTATTTTATATTGCTTTAACAGAATCAACATTTATTGCTAAGTTTAGATTTTTTAATAATAATAAGTAATATGTCGAATATTTAGATGCGAGGAAATTACAAACGAATATCAAGTCGGTTAGAACCTAATGCTCATGCAATTAAAGCTGCTATGGCAACCTTTTGAATCTGATAGTTATTCACTCTGAGCAATATAGTATTTTGAATCAAATTAACTGCGGAAAATGAATTTCAATAAACTGGTCACTTTGCTTATATTTCGACAAACAATGTAAGTATATTATTAATTTGAAACCAGAACGTTAATTTTTTAAATATCTTCACCAAGCATCTGCTATGCGTTAAGTGTTTAAAAAAATCAAATTGTAAAGTAAGTAAAATAAAATGTATTTTAAAATTTTCATTCATAGAAAGCATAGAGAGTCTTCAACAAAAGCGCAAATAAATGGTCATATTGCAAATATTGAAAAGGCCTCCCCATTGGTAAATAAATGTCCAACAATATCTATAGAGAATACAAGCAGTTGTTAAGCAGTTCTTTTTATATATTTATAGTATATATATTATACCTGTAATCTTCTTGTATATTCACATTTTTAGTATTAATTTGTATATTTATTTAGTAATGTTTTAGTTAACATAATCTATTTAACTTAATAACTTAACGTTAAACTAATGAGCTAAAAAAAAAATACAGTTGACATTATTTTGCAAACTAAAGTTTAACTTTAACATTTCGTTGTTAAAAAACCTGTAATACCTAATTTTTATTTTCAAATTTTATTTTAAGCTACTTTTTATTTTAGTCTAAATAACCATAGCTAATAAAGGTTAGCAAATCCTCTTACTGTTTTTCAAAAAATTGTTTTTAGCTTATTTTCTGGCACAATTATGACTATTAATTATTACTATTTAATAAGACTTTTAACTTTAAGATTTTAATTATAATACAAACATTCAACTGTATGATTTTAATTATGACAATTATATACAAACATTTAACTATAAAAAACTTACATAGAACAAATGTAGTTTGATGAGAGGATAAGAATATTAACTCTTTAAAGTTTAGGAAATATAAGAATATTAACTTTTCTAAATAAGTTTTATTTTGTTTTTTATTAATAAAAATTAATTTTTCTTATTATTATTATTATTATTTTTCATTGTATTTAGTTTTCATTATTATCTTGTTATTGTTAAAAGTACTAAAATTTATGTTTATTTCAGAATAATAAAAATGGATAAACAAGAGAAAAATCAATACTTGAGGGAATGGCGCTAAAGTAATCGAACCTTAAACAATATACTTGTAAATGAAGTAATTGACTCACATCACATGTCAAATCTAATATTAATAGAGTCGAGATTTGGATTGATTTCAAAAACATTGAAATTGAGAACTATAGTGACTTTTATTTTGTCTCTGATCATAAATATGAGTTATTATTTGCAAATGGTTTTTAGTATTATTAATATAACTTCAATTACTTCTTGAGAAAAAATGTTGCAAATGTGCCAATAAAAAGTCAGAAAGTGTAAGCGTAACCATTTTCAAAAAGATAGAGTCCCTTGAGGAATTTTATGAGCTTGAAACCAGATTAAAAGACAATGGGGAATATAGTAAATTGGTAATTTATATTTATAATTTCTATTTTTAAAATTTGTCTGTTTAATAAAATGCTATTTAAGTTCATCGTTTTCTTGATGAGCCTATTTAGATCATTCTCACGTTTTACCACAATATGGTGTAAAAGGTAAATTCCTACTTATAAATCGAGAATTATCTTAGTGACCTGATAGCCATTTACATTCTGTAGAGTTTTTTACAGTCTTGTATTTTTGTTAAATTATTATACTAAATATTTGTCTTACATTTAGTTTAGCAATTATTATTTTGATACTTTTATACACTTTTTCAAGATGTAATTGAGAAAACAAAAATTGTAATTAAGAATCGTAAGATGTAATTGAGAAAACAAAAGTTGTAATTAAGAAACGTAAGATGTAATTGAGAAAACGTAAGTTGTAATTAAGAAACATAAGATGTAATTTAGAAAACGAAAATTGTAATTAAGAATCGTAACATGTAATTGAGAAAATGTAAGTTGTAATTAAGAAATAGAAAGATGTAATTGAGAACACGAAAATTTTAATTTAGATATCGCTTTAAAGGAGTAAGTGTAAAATGGCGCTTAAAAAAAATGACGCGTAAAAAAATGGAGCGTATAAAATGAAGCACTTAAAAATGACGCAAGATTTGTAGCGTAAATTTAATTTTTTAGGGAAAAATTTAGGGAAAAATTTATAGTTTTTGGGCAAATGAATTTAACATAATAAACACTAAAAACATTTTAGGGAAAAATTTATAATTCAATTAAAAATTATAATTAAAAATTATAGAATTAAAAACCACTTCATTGATCATTTAAGCACCAGCTTGTACGTCTTCCATATTTAAAATAGTTGCATAGTGCGTGGTTGTGTGTTGTACCGCACGTGCACAATCTCAATTACAATTCGTTTTAAGCACTGCATGCGCTGTTCCGCAATCCCGTCACCTAATACAGGTGGAATGCGAATTGCATTTTTAACATTACTTTTAATTTTGGACCAGATCGTTTCCACCGGGTTCAACATTGGACTGTAAGCTCCCAAACGTAACAACTGAGCTGGTGAATTATCAAACACCCTTTGCAAACGAGCGTGACAAGGAGCATTATCTGTTACGACGACCAAATCCTCCAAACGATTCCCGGATGTAACCCACTGGTGAAACATAGCCAACATCCACTCGTTACAGGAATCTGCTTTAAATGATCCCCTGCGAGTTTCTATCATGACGACATTTGTAGTTGAAATAGCTGCGATCAAGTGTATGTTTAAACCTTTTGAAGCAGGTACTTTCATAATTGTTCTTTTTCCTTGTCTCGCGCGTCCTTGCGTTTTTCTACAAAAAAGGTTAAAATTTGTTTCATCCAACCAAACTATCTGACGACCATTTGTGATATGTTCGTTGATGTTTCTAACATATTCAGCTCTTTTTTGTTTGTTTTCATAACTGTTCATTGTAGAAGGCTCCTTGTGCACTTTTTTTTAATGAGAACAATCTGCCTTCGAGGTAATTTACTATTGTTGTTGTGCTGACGTTTATGTTAAATTGTCTTAATATCTTTGTTTTGATGGCCACCAATGTTAATTGACAATCATTTTCAATCCATGTTAATGTTTCTTCGATTTGATCTTCGGTCAACTTTTTCGGTTTAAAACCTCCTTTTCCGATGAAATTTGAATTTCCGCTGCGAACCCAATTGTATGCTGTCTTATATTTGATACCTAGCGTTTGCGCGAGATTCACCCAATCTTCAAATCGCTCCGCACTTTCAACAACTCTTCTCCTGTCATTTGGAGAAGATAAAACGTAACGTTTCCTTTCAACTTGTTCAGCTGTGTGTATTTCATGCCGACAAATTGGACAACTTGAATCTGGTTGTTCCAGAACTGGACGTAAACAAATTTAGTGACATAAATGTTGACACGGATTTAGCTTAATCACAGACTTTCGGGTCATAGTGTATTGGCATATAACACAACGATCTTTCAATTCCATTATTATTACTTGTGCATACAAAAGCAAAATTTAAGATTATAACTTAAATTCATGTCCAAAAAGACCTTTTGTAACAACCTACAAACTTAGACTGTGAATTTGCTATTTTAATTTATGTGTTCTCAATTACAAGTTACGATTTCTCAATTACATATTATGATTTCTCAATTATATCTTACGTTTTCTCAATTACATGTTGTGTTTCTTAATTACATGTTACGACTTCATATTTACATGTTGTGTTTCTCAATTACATATAACGTTTTCTCAATTACATGTTGTGTTTCTTAATTTTATATTACGACTTCTTAATTACAACTTTCATGTTCTCATTTACATCTTGAAAAGGTGTAGAATAGATTCCTAAACGTTTAGATCGACGTAAATGCCACCTAAACGTGATCTAAACCAATTTCAAACCAACAAATGCCCGTTGGGTAGGCTTTTATTTTCTGTTAATTTTACTTTTAAACTTTTGTTTAAAATTTGAAAATAATTTATTTTTGTTAAATAAACCAAGATATGTAACTAAGAATTTTATTTTTCTTGCTGTTTTAAACTGTTTAATTAAGTTGCTTATTGCTTTTGTATTTGAATTTTATTTATTTTTTTATATTTGTTTTTTTAATAAAATGTTCTGAAAGCAGACTTTTATATTTAAACATGAAAAGTATATTTTGATAAATACATATAATAAGGTACATAATATAAAAGATATATAAAATATTTTGAACTTATTTAAATTATGCGCCACGTTTTCCTGCATAAACACTGCGTAAAAAAAAATCATGTTTCTTTGGATCTAATCTACTTAAATAAATCGCATCGGTTTCTCATATTTCAACTTTTTTTTGTTATCAAAAGTAAAACAAAGTTTCTGTATTAAAACTGTAGAAAGTCTGACACTGTGATCTGAAAGTATTGCCAGCTTACGAAAATATTCTGACATTAACGAAACAATCTTGTAGCTCTGCTAGCATATTGAAGAGCTTTAAATATGTCGTACAACCTATTTGTTCACATTGAGTTGAAAATTCTTAAACGTCAAAAAAGCAGTTATTTTGTCGAATAATTGAAAGAATAAAATAAAATGAAGGTAACATTTTGCTTATTTATTTGCGTACGTATATAAATTAATTAAAGGCATGTCTGCTACATTTAATACTTACCTGTAACCAGCTTATATTTGTCAACTTTAACTTATTTGATTTTTTATGTAGTTGAAAATATGAAAATACAGTTTGTTTTCTTTAGAATCTAGAAGTTATAACATCAACATTTTTTTTAAACTGCCTTCTTGTTGCCTCGTTTTACGAAGTCAAAGAAAGCAGCAAAAATGAAGTTCAGTTTACAAGTTTTATCTCAATGTCGCACAATACCCTAACTGACAACAAAACAAGCATAAAATGTTTATATGAAAAGGTTGAACAAAGTGTAAAAAATTTGCTTAGCATGAAACAGAAAGCCTCAAATGAGAAACGAAATAAAAGATCTCAACTGAATCAAAATGAACCGAATTTGATGTGCTCTGAAGAACAAATCGCCATAACAAATGAAAGCGGTACTTACGAGATTGTAATGAAGTTCAATTCCAACAAAGTTGACTATTTCAAACTAGCAAACTTTGTTATATCAAAAGAATGTGTATCAAAGAGTGCATTACCGTGTAAAACAAAGTATGAAACGAGAAAATACGCAAAGTTGAATATAACCGGAGGAACAGCCAGCCTTATCGGAAATATTAAACAGCTTGAAGTTGGAATTTGTTGTCAATGTTTTTAAAAGTATTTCACATTTATAATAAATAATTTTATATTTTATTTGTATTGTAACTTTGTAGTTTAAATATAAAACTTATCATTTATTATAGATTGAAATAATATCATCTACCGTCAACCAGGGTTACTTTAAACTGCGGGGTAACTTTAAACACAGATTGATTTTTTGTTCTAGATGTTATTATGAGAAGTATTTATATGAAACTGTTCGATACTTAAGCAACAAAATATCAAAAATAAATTAAATTTTAATTATTTAAAGTTTTACTTTGTTTTACTAGTTTTATTGCTTCTTTAAAAATGATTTAAATATTTCGGATATTTTTCTTAAAAAAATTAGCCAGTATACTTCGTAGACTGCCTCAGCTCGTTTGGCAGCTTGTTGTCTAAGTTATATAATTTTTGTTTATAAAATTATTAAGTATGTAAAAAGTAAAGGAATTTCCTAGCCTGATTTAGTTATTGTCCATGGATGTAGCATAACATGTTTTGCTGTATACATTTTTTCTCATGCGGTAACTTTGAATAACATTCAAAATAACCCGACAAATATAAATTGTCAGAAACATGTAACAATTTTAAATTATTTCGCATATAAACTTCTTATAATGAATGTATAATATATAGTAGTATTTTGTTTAAAAATTGATATATAATGTGCAGTTAGTAACATATACAAATACACACACATACACATATTTAATAGTGTATATATATATATATATATATATATATATATATATATATATATATATATATATATATATATATATATATATATACAAACACACACACACACACACACACATATATATATATACATATGTATATATATACTTTTTGGAGAAACTACTAATAAATTTTCAAACATATTATATATTATTTGTCGTACAGAAAAGCATCAAATATTCATAAGATTCCGGTTGGGACTTTGTATAATAAAGCTAAACGACTTAATCTGAAAAAACCAGGAAAACCCACAGTTTTTACGTCTATGCAGGAATTAGCAATTGTACAACATGTTATTGCTGTTGCTGCTTGGGGTTTTCTTTTTGATATCATGGATCTTTGTGTTTTAGGAAAGTCAATTTTGGATATTGAAGGCAGAGTTGTTCCTAAATTTAACAATAACTTTCCTGGAAGTGAATGGGGTCATAGTTTTTTAAAGCGTCACAATGCTGATCTCACTCTACGAATAAGTCAGAATATTAAAAAATGTAGGGCATCAGTTTTATGTTCTGAAATTAATAAGTTTTTTGATAATTTAAAAATGACTTTGAAGTATGATGAAGAAATACAAATTACTTCCTGTAATGTTTTTAACTATAATGAAACAGATTTGTCAGATAATCCTGGAACTAAACTAAGTATTTTTTAAATTGGGGTGAAATATCCTGAACGTATTCAGTAAACAGTAGTAAAAGTGCTAAGTCAATCATGTTTTGTGGTTCAGCCTTTGGTCAAATGCTTCCAGCTTATGTTGTTTTAAAGCTGACCATGTATGGAGAACATGGACTAAAGGTGGACCACCTAATGTACGATTCAATCGAAGTGAGTCAGGATGCTTTTATTCTGTTTGTTTTTCTGATTAGTTTGACACAGTTTTTGTCAGATCTGCAAAACATCTTTCAGTAATCAAAGTTCTAATTGGTTATAATCTTAGCCGTCAATTAGTGAAAAGGTACTTAAATTAGCTAAAGAAAACAACATCTTGTTTGTTTGCTTATTTGCAAACTCTACCCATTTACTGCAACCACTTAATGTTACATTTTTTGGACCACTTAATATAGTACTAAATAAAATACTTAATAAATGGAAAATTTCGTGTTCAAAAAAACCACAGACAATTACAAAAGACAAATTTCCTTCTTTATTAATAAAATTATATACTTATATATATTCGCCAGATCAAGAGGTAAGCAGCACTTTAGTAGCTGGTTTTAAAAAATGTGGTATTTACCCATTAAATGCAAATATTGTCGTCAATCGTTTACCAGATGCTGATAAAAATATTGAAAGTTTTAAAAGCAACGTTAGCCAAGCTGTAGTTAATGTACTTAAGCGAATGCGTTGTGTTGATGACCAGGAAAAAAAAACCAAAGCGAAAAAAAAAATTACAGTTGATCCTGGTAAAACTACTTCTTTAGAGAATTTTCAAGCGACATTTAATGATGTTCCACATGCATCGTCTTTTCTTAGTGAAACTATTGTTTCATCTGAGTTGTCTTCTACTCCTGAACATAAAAAACTAAAGAATGAATATTCTTTTTATGCAAGTCTTGTTAAAACATATCCATTAAGAGAAAAAAAAACTATTCAGGTAAAATATTATTACATAATATTATATTATTTGAGTGATGATAACTAATATGAACCTAAAATGTTGTTTTTATTTTTCTTAATTTTTTTTTATTTGCATTCACTTCCAACAAGGCTGTAAGCAACCACTATTAAGTTGGGAGTTACTAGGAAAAACAAAGAACAGAGTTATAGAGCAAGGAAACGGTTGACAGAAGACTTGAAAAGTTGAAGGTTGTATGAGTCAGGAAAACATGAAGATGGGAGAGAGTTCCAAAGGATTGAAGTGCCGGGAAAAAAACTAGATGAATAGAAGTTTTTAGAGCATGCAGGGACAGATACAGTAAACGAATGAGACTTAGCTGAATGATGAGTAAAACGAGAATGAATTTTAGTTGATGGAACTAGAAATGATAACTCCTTTGAGCAGTGACCATGATAGTATTTGTAGAAAAGAGAAAGAGATGCCACTTTACGACAATGGGAAAATGGCTCGAACTTAGCAGATAGTCCAGGTCCAACAACATTTACAATGCGTTTTTGGACCTTGTCAAGAAGAGAAAGTGAATCGTTAGAAGAACCAGCCCAAATATGACAACAGTATTCTATACAGGGACGAATAAGAGATTTGTAGAGATAGAGAATGGAATCAGAAGTAAGGAAATGGCGAGCACGTTAAGAGAAGCAACCTTAGCAGAAGCTAATTTAGCAATCGATTGTATATATGGTTTCCATGAAAGGTCAGTAGTAAGCGATAATCCAAGAAGACGTAAAGAGGAGGACTCAGTAAGAGGATTGCCATTCATTAATATAGGAATGTTGACCATATTACGGTAGTTGTTTGCAGTAAGCAACTGGGTTTTTTTTTGAGTTAAAATTCACAAGCCACTGGGAACCCCAATCTATTACTGAAGTGAGATCGGATTCAAGATCAGCATCTTGTTCTAGGCGATCGAAAAGAGAAGACTTTTTGTCAAGACAGGAGTATAAAGTCGAGTCATCAGCAAAAAGAGCTATTTTAGATGAAAGGTTGTCATGAAGATGGTTTATGTAGATAAGAAACAAAACAGGGCCCAGGATGGAACCTTGGGAATCCCAGAAGTTACTGGAAATAAAGAAGAGTGTTGGCTTTCAAGGATGACTTTAATAAACCGGTTAGAAAGAAATGATTTGATAATCTCAAAAACTTTCCCAGAAACACCATATGAAGCAAGCTTATGGAGAAGACCAGCATGCCAAGCTTTGTCGAAAGCTTTAAATATGTCGAGAGCAATAGCTCTAGCCTCACCGCCTCCATCTAATGCACAAAAAAATCTTTCAGTTACAGCAGTTAGCAAGTCAGCCGTAGAGCGAGAGGATCGAAAACCGTATTGATTGTCTGACAGAAGTTTATTTGACTCAAGATGAGATGTGAGGTTTATTTGACTCAAGATTTATTTGACTCAAGATGATTTGTTAATCAAAGACTAAAAGACCTTGCTAAAAACAGAAAGAAGACTGATCGGACGATAATTGGAGGGTTCAAAATTTTCTCCAGAGTTTTTGAATATTGGAACCACAGATGCCATTTTCCAACAAGCAGGAAAACAAGACTCAGTCAAACACTTGTTAAATAGTTTAGAGAGAATTGAAGAAAGTTCTGCAGAACAGTTCTGCAAGACTGTGACAGGAATGTTGTCTGGACCACAAGCTGTAGACGAGTTTAATTGAGATATGACTTTAGCAACAGAAGCCGGAGTGATTTGAATGTCTGACAATGGGTCAACCTGTTTGACTGGAATGGAAGGAAGAGAATGTCCATAAGATTCAAGAGTGGAATTAGAAGAAAAGTTCTTTGCAAATAGTTCTGCCTTATCCTTGGGAGAGGTAATAAGATCAGTCCCATGAATGAGAGATGGAATGTTAGATCTACCCTTGTTAATAATGCTGTTGAAGATTTTTCAAAAGTCTTTAGAGCCTAACTTCTGCGATAAGATGCGAGATTTAGTGAACTGAGAATAATGGAGTTTAGCATCAGAAAGCACCTTTTTACATCGGTTTTTTGCAATAATATTTAGCCATTTGTTCTCAAGAGATTTGTTCTTTAGAAAAAGATGAAAAAAATGATTACGATTGGATATAGCAGCCGCACAAGAAAGAGAAAATCATGGAGTAGAATGAGGCTTGAAACCGACGAGAAGGAATAAAAGCTTCCATTTCAGCCTGAATCCAGGAGGTTACGTGGGAGGCGCATTTATCAGCTGAGAGAGAAATAACATCAGCCCAAGGACCATCACGAAGAAAATCACGAAAAGAATCCCAGTCAGCTTTAGGGTAGTAGTAGGTGGTGCGATGATAAGGTGAGCCCAAAAAAGAAGTACGAGAAAAAAGATTTATAGAGATCATTGCATGGTCAGAACCACCTAAGGGAGAAAAGGGAGAAACTGAACATAAGCTAGGGTCAGAGACAAGACATAAAATAAGGAGTGAAGGTAAATGATTAGGGTTGTCAGCAAAACGAGTCACAAAGTTAACTATCTGAGTAAGAGATTGAGAGACGCAGAAGTTAAAGGTTTTAGTGCCAGCAGGATCAGTGGTGTTAGAGCCAAGCCATTCAGTGTGATGGGCATTAAAATCACCAACAACAACAATATTGGCAGAGGGGTAAAGAGAGAGGGCATGGTCAATTTGATCAGAGGTAACATCTAAAAGAGTGCAATTATGGGAAGAAGCAGAAAGATAAAGAACAAAGAGAAAGGTGATAG